CTGTTGGGGTTTTTCTAGGCAAATTTTACATTCAGTAGTTTGCCGTTGCTTCTGAACGGTCAGCTCTCAGTACCAATAGCATTTTAACACACTTTTTCTTTTCTGCAGTCGACATCTTCTTACAGGTGGGTATGTTTTGCATCTTGCTATAAATAAACAACAGAATTTAATTATGATGATAACAAAACTTTATTTCTGAAACAATTTTAACACAACATGAAAGTCAAACAGTCAAATAGTAACTTGAACCATTTTTGTAACTGTTACTGGAATGCTACTGTACAGCACAATTTACTCGGCCATAATTACAACTGTCATCATCATGAACCCTGCCATGCAGTGTAAGCATTCAGTCATTCCAATGACCTCAGTCCTTGGTGTTTGAGATTTATTCTGATGATATTTCTCTATGCCACCATTTCAGACCATTCATCATTTCTCTTGGTCTACCTGTCGCCTTTCCAACCACTAACCTTTCCAGTTGCCATGATATTCTCTAATGACTCTCTTCTATTCAAAGGTCTTCCAGTATATAAACCCACACAAATATACAACTGATAGAGACCACTGCTGTTTATTTCTGAAACAGTTCGGCACAACAATGAAAATCAAACATTAAAATACTAATCTAAAGAAAGATTGACCTATATTCAGTGCTACTCCACAACAAAAGCTTTTCTGCAATACGTAAACTGTCAGAGAAAAAAGCAAGGAAAAAACAAAACTACTAATAAAATAATGCATATTGGGTGATGTATATGACATAAATTTTCACGAAAGCATCAATAAAATATAATTTTCTGTCAGAATACCCATTCAAAAGCGTTTTTCCCCCACTTCTTTGCCTGATGAGGAATGAATCCTCTGATGCTCAGAAATATCTGAACGGCTCTTCAAAATTCACACTACCATGACAAGCATATCATTAATCCAGCAAGCAAAGGAAAAAATAAGTAGCTTGTTCTGAACTACAGGGTAGGCCGTATTGATAGAACACATTTCAAATGCATATGTGGAATATGTAGGGAGCAATATTTATGTATGAGAGTTTTGCACTGTGTTCAGTGTTTGAAGATTACATCCCTGCGATGGTCACCACCTTGATGAGAACATTCTCTAGTTCTAACATGATATTCAGCATAGTTTTGCCCGGGGTTTCAGCTGAGATGGTAGCTATCTCCCTTCAGATGTTGTCCTTTAGTTCACTGATGGTAGTGGGCAATGAAAGAAACCTAACAGTAACTTCCATCCGTACATTTCCTATAAAGCTATATCTAAAACTCCCTAGCTACAGGGGCTACCCCAAATAATTTCACACTTTACCATGTGCATTAACCCATTACCTTCAGAGTTTTCGGCAGACCCCCAAATAATTTCACACTTTACCAAGTGCATTAACCCATTACCTTCAGAGTTTTTTGGCAGACCCCAAATAATTTCACACTTTACCATGTGCACTAACTAATTTCTCCATTACCTTCAGAGTTTGTGGCAGACCCCAAATAATTTCACACTTTACCATGTGCATTAACCCATTACCTTCAGAGTTTTTGGCAGACCCCAAATAATTTCACACTTTACCATGTGCATTAACCCATTACCTTCAGAGTTTGTGACAGACTGTCTGATCACTGTACACTTGTGAACTAGAATTGAGAATGGCAACATCAGAGGGAAACTAAACTCTGTTACATATATCTGTGGCTAACATTTAACATAATCAGAAATTCTAAAAACCTGACAACACCACAGTAATACACACACACACACAAAATAATGACTGTTTCTGATAATGACAAAACCTGGTTTTTAACTTTTTAAGTACCAGAAGAGTTAGCCTGACATTACAAAGGTAACGATGGACAAGGTGAACAAAGACAATGCTTGAGAGCATCACTTTTACATCTGCAACAACTAAATACTGAGTTTTGTATTAGAATAACTATCTGGGTTTCTATAGTCTGACCAAGTTAAACAAGAGATCACATCATTCGCTGTTTAATGCACATGGATAATACCTGATCACACAAGTCGTGTTTGTTGAAACTAAAACGGTTTTAAAAAAAAGTTCTGAATAGGTACAAGGAAACCACAACATACCTGAAAAAGGGGTTTAAAGGCAGAGATAAAATAAGGAGGACATGAAAGGAGCAGAAAGAGATGAAAAGGGTCAAGACAGCTTGATTGAGCTAGGTGCCTGTCTACACTTTATTGGGAGATAAAAGGATGAGGAGGTTAAAAATCACATAAGTTGCAAGCTGGGTTATCTTCATGGCACTCCAGACATGTCCACAGGTGCTCAGCAGCACCCCCCCCCCCCCCCCCCCCCCCCCCCCCCCCCACCATATACATCAGCATCCCATGGTTAACAGTGCCACTTCTATGCTGGCTGAAAAGTCTTCTTGTACATCTGGTGTGCCTCTCAAGCCAGGCTGTGCCAATCTTTACTCCCAATTGCTGTATTCTTAGCATATATTGTTAGCCATGTTAACATATCATAGTTTTGGGTCCAGATGGTAACCATACTTTTAAAAAAAATGACCTCGGCACCTAGCCTTGAATGTGTCTCAGGTGGCGTCCCATGAAGTGAAGGTGGCTGACATGATTCTGACCACATCACCCACCACCAAGAGCGAATTGGTCTATGAAAATGTAAATCTAACCCTATATACCCAATATGCCTCAAGACATGGTTTAAAGGGTCCTTTACTTACTTATGTTAACATAATTTTTTCTAAACAATGTTTTCCTGTAATGAATTTAAATAATGCAGACACAAACAATACATTGCACAATTTATTGGCAGGCATATTTCGCTGTATCTTGTCAGGTGTGTTAGTACAGAGTTACATCAACATAAAACTGAATAAATCCAACTGAAATGCAGACAGTTTCTTTCGACACATCGTATGTTTTGGCCGCCGGAAACTCACCAGAGTCATGTGACTATCAGGGTAACTTTAAATTTACTATAAATTCATTCTGCTTACAAAGGAGGGGGTTGTTGATTTTAATTGTTAAAGCTTCGGCCATTCTCAACAGTCGCCTGTTCAGAGTGTGATAAACCACACAGAAAGCAATGTCTGCGTCAATTACGTGTCTGGAATTAAGTAGATAACGTCCTATGGAAGAAGTGGGTTCTTTCCTCTTGAATGGTCTCCACACCCTTGAAGAATCACTGAGCTGTGTATAAAGCCATTTGGGTATGTGCTCTGCCACTCATTTCCAAGCTGTTTCTCTGTTCGACCGATGTAAGTCAACTGGCACTTACATGTAAATTGGCAATTAATAATTTTTTTTTCTCATAATCAGGCTAAATATTAATTTAAAAAAAAAAAATACAGTAACATGTCATGTGTTGTTTGAGACACAAAGTGTTGAGTACTTATTTTAACTGGAATTAAATGCAGTGGACAAGTCGTCATGAACAGCAACACACACTGGGGATAAGTCTGCGGATCAACAAATTATTGCCATAAACATTATAACATATTGTTGATTGTTTCATCATAAACAACTGAACATACAACAATCATGTGCTGGGAGTCTGTGAACTTGTATTTATATTTATTACCATACACCGTAACGTTTCCAGAAATATCCGGCTGAACTCCAAAATATCATAAATACTGGTGGAAATTTGGGTTCGGTTCAAGTAAGTCTTCCTAAACAAAGTAGGTCATGTTTAATTCACAACGCATTAGGCTGGTCTAACTTCCTGGAGATAATGAGTGTGCCGCTCTGTTGTTTGTTTTCTGTGTTATCTTGCATTTACGTTTTTATTCAGAGAAAAGAGAATGCCTGTGACATAGGTTGCAGCACTTTCTAGCAGGGCTGTGTTAGGTCCTGTTTGTCCATGTTTTTGGAGTGTTAAAAGTGCTTGTGTGCTGAAATATACAATTCGCGATAGCAATGGCATTGCGGAAACCCCCGTTAAGTTTGTGCCAAGGTCACGTGGCTCAAGGCCTACCAATCAGAAGTGAGCTAGTGTGTATAAAGGCGGGATCTGGGGAGTGAAACATTACTTTTACTAAAGTTTGTAACTGTAACTAAATCAGAAATGTCAGTAATATAAATATACCACGCTATATTATACTGTTCTATAACAAACATGGTACATATGTCTGGTCTCATATTAAAAGCACACATGTTGCAGGTCTCGTTACATCCTCACAAATATTATGGTGCATAAGGTGAAATAAACACTAGTACCATCAGAGTTGAAACTTGGCACTTGCTGCTGAAGAGGGAACGGGTGCTTTTTGGAATTCTTGAGTGCTATGACATCAGTACTTAACTCATATTTCCTAACCTACAAATATTATATTATGTGTAAGTCTGACTGTAGAGAGACAAGCCACGTCACACCCTCAACACAAACAACATTAGCATGATAATTTGTTTTTGTTAAATCCCTGCTTGTGGAATAATACACATATTTAGACAGCAATGTAGACAAAAATGGGGAAACGAATATAAAAAGAAAGAATACAAAAGGAAAAAGAAGCTTCCACAGAACAAGTAAATTTGAACATTTAAAAAAAAAAAAAAAAAATTTAAACCTTGTAACAAACTTATACTATTTTCAACTCTAAAAGGGCAAAAGAAAGATGGAGAATTAAAGAGACATAAAAAAAAGAGATGGAGACATAAAAATACATGAAGAAAAGAGATAGAGATCTAAAATACATGAAGAAAAGAGATGGAGACCTAAAAATACATGAAGAAGAGAAGAGATGGAGACCTAAAAATACATGAAGAAAAGAGATAGAGACCTTAAAATACATGAAAAAGAGATGAGATGGAGATGAATAATAGGCGCAGTGTAATAAGAGAGCAGCAGGAGATGGCAAAATACAGGACAGCTTGACATGAATTAGCAGGAGGCCCAAAATCAAATGGGGAGGGGGGTGGGAGATATAAGTGCAAAATAAAAATAAAACATTGCAACAATTTGATTAAAGACTTTTTGTTACAATTGCAATTCCATCATGCATAAGTTAATTTACAACATTCACTTCTTCCTCGATATCAATCTTCATGTTGAAAGTACTCCTCTCAGGTTTCAGAAAGCGCAAGCCGGAAGTATCTCGGAAAACTGGCACCTTGTGAAGGGCGTTGCTGGCAACACTAGGGGTAGCCTTGGTGCGGGCAAATCCCACACGGTTGTTGCCCATGTCAAACTCTGTGTAGTAAGGTCCGATGAAGACATCGCCCAGGATCCACAAGGGGCCCATTGGTGGAGGCACATCTAGGCCGATAAAGCCACTGATGCACTGGGATTGTCCCATCACTGTGACCTGAAGACATGATGGAAGAAAAGGGTCATCTCATTGCAGGCATAGAAGTTGCCATGGTGTAGTGGATAGACGCTCACCTGCGGATCTAAAAGTCGTGGATTTAAATCCAAATGGAGCTGGACTTTAAAAAAAAGACCTTGGTTTCCAGGTCAAACCAATGGATACCAGGTACAGTCCTGGGAAGTAAAGGTAGTTGGCGTGATGTTGACCACATCACCCAGAGAGCGCCAACTGGTCTATAGTATAGGTCTAGCCTTACAAGCCCAATATACCTCAGGGAGGTGAAAAGGATTCTTTACTTAGCAGATATCCTGTTGGTGTTTACAGATTGTATGCCAGGGCTATTTAACTACATTTACTCAGGGGCTAAACTGTTGAACACCATCTCTTTGAGTGCCCAAAACTCAGCGAGACTAGAAGAATGCTACTCCTCCGAGAACAGACAAGTGGAACACCTTGTATGGAGGAAAAGAACTGCTTGTAAAAACATGTAAATTTCACCACATGGCATTGGGCCAGAGGGCGAAAGCTGATGCGCTGCTATATTTATAACAACAACGACGACTCAGGAAACTTACCATGGGCCATATACCCAAGCCCCTGCAGAGGAAGATCATTAATACAATTGAAATGGCAATGTTCCATGGGCCACCTGTTAGGCCTCCGCGGCCTAGATTTGGCCGGTGGGCTGCCAGTTGAATGGCCCTATTCTAGGAGATAACATTTAAAGGATTTCTGTAGAAGCACACCAAAACTCACAGCACTTTCCTCAAGAATACCACAACAATGATATTTGATGCACAGTAAATAGTCTGCTAGAACAGCTCACCCTAACCAGCAATACAGAATCCTTAAAATGTCAACAAAGTATAGCCAATTTTTGTATATGTTTGATACGACTGTTATAATTACATATGTAATTATACAAAATCAAATCGTTTTCCAGTGGATCCAGGTTGACTGCGGCATACCAGGAAATGAGTTAGCAGACAGACTTGCAAAAAATGGAACAAAGGAGAAACAATATACCCATCCATTGTCATTACCAGAAATCAGAACACTTATCATGGAAAATAAAGGAATTGTGGAGAGAACAAACTAACAGTAAACATCCACAAGAGCCTATCAGCAGACTCAACAGACATCATCATACAACAATTTTTCATCTACGAACAGGACACTGCAGGCTCAACTACCATATGCACCAAAATAAAGATTTTAGAGCCCCCACAGTGTGCTTGTCAAACAGGACCACAAATACCTGAGCACATTCTGCAGACCTGCCCACTCTACCTACAACTTTGAAAAGACACCTGGCCTCAAGAGCAAAGTATGCAGAGCAAGCTATGGGGAATCATAAAAGGACCTGCTGCTGACATGCGAGTTCATAGAGGCAACCCACCTGATGGTCTGATCTGAGCATTTCAAACTGCACGCAAAGAAGAAGAATGTAATTATACATCTATTATTATTAAGGGCAAACCAGCTGTTGGTCATAATAATCAACTGAACATGAATTGTGTAAAGTGACTTATTTAATTTCTTGTGTCCATTAAACTATGAGGAGGCTTCAAATGAAAACCTCCAAAGTGTGACATAAATTACCCCAACCATGAGTATGACTTGTAAATATTGTTGTAAAAAATATTAAGCATGTGACACCACGGTGCAGACAAACATGGTGATTAATAATGACAGTTTAAAGACGGCCACCCCAATTCTGACATGCACCAAAGAGGAGCAGCATGTGTTATAGTGGATGGTTACAAGACAGTGGCATGGTTGTTTGTAATTTCTAACACACTTTTAAGGTTCTCATTTGAGCCCCTTGATAAAGAATAAATTCTTTTTGTATAAATCAGTCCTGAGCCCCAGCACAGAAAGATCCTTCAAACAAAACAATTGGCAGGTAATCTGTGGGCCACTTGTTAACTTCTGTGGGCCAAATTTAGCCAGCGGGCCACCAGCTGAATAGCACTGAGCTACAGCATACTACATGAAAACAGCAGGCTATAAGGCAAGAGGCCGACCAAGAAAGTGATGGGTGGAGGGAGCAAAAGAGACACTACAGAAAAACAATATGCCATCAACACAAGCAACACAACCAGCAAAAAACAAGAAACTACATATAACTTCTTTCGGTGATGCTTATGGCATAAGCAGTAGGAGAAAAGAAGAAGACACAATCAACATACCTTAAGAACATACTGCTGAGGTGTGAGCAGGAAGTCCTTGCCTCCAATAGTGATAGTCACATTTGGCATCTTAGGGATGTCGGTGCATGCAACCAGGTACTGGAGATTGGAAAAATAATGACTAAGCATTTATAAACGTTATGTGACACAGAAAACAAGGTAATGATCGTGGGAATAATCACCTCTTCTTCTTATAGTCTATTATGTGTGGCGTTAGTAGAATGTTAAATGCTTAATAAAGAATCGACATCACAGCACTCGGGACACTCCCAAAAGTGCTCAGTCCCCCATATTCAGCAGCAAGAGAATGGTTCCAATTTCAATAGTACCAGTAACCGTCTGTTTGTATATCCATCTCATCCTTCCCCCAAGTGTTGAGCGTCGGCCTGATCTCCTGGTTACTCCTCACAGTGCCATTCTCCTTAGACCGTAATGATCTATCTGTGCCTCTGCACTGTTCACTCGCTCCCAAAGGCCTTGAAATGACCTTGAGAAAATATCCAAAGGATGCTAACTACCTGGGACCTCTGAAATGATGCTTGCCACTCTGCATGAAGCATTTCTGTTTTCATCTTTCTGAACCTGCTCTATGAGTCAGTTTCAATCATGGCATGTGTGTACAGCTGATTCTCAAGCCAGTGGAAAGCAGCAGAGACTGCCTCCACCTCCATGTTCAAACTAGATGTTGTGATATCATATGCATGGCTTTACTGCACTAGGTGACGTCCATTTGCCTTTGCTTTGTAACCCCATGTTTGGCGTTAGTAGTCATGTCTATCCACAACCTTCTGTCTCGTGAACTTTCAATCAATTCTGACACACTGATTATCTTCCATGCTATGATGTCAAACTGTCCAGCAACCTCTCTCCCAGGTATTTTGTCTGTCCCGCTAAGAAACATTTTGCTTTACATGACAGTGAGGTCTGCATGGTTCAAATTTTCTTCAGAGAGCTCCCACTTGTTATAATGCTGGTTGCTTTCAATCTTGCTAGATTCTTTCCTGGCTTCCGGTCTAGGGTTTCCACATTCTAGCTAGCATCGTTGCTTCATGTGACCTTGTCGCACACGTGCACAACTACCTACTTGGGAACAAACACAACTGTCTACAATTAACATCTTTTTAACTCTAATCGCTAGTTCCCTTCTCCATGTGTTTCTTGGTCTTCCTTTATTTCTATGCCCCTGTGGGTTCCAGTGCAAAGACATTCTGGTTATACTGTTTCTCATGTTTTCTCAACATGTCTATGGTTGGCTGGTTTTTGTGTCTATTGTTTTTACACAATGAGGTAGCCAACCCCAAGCCCAACCATACCTTTAGTCTACCCTTAGTCGCCTCTGACGAACTGGGTGGTAGGTTTAGTGCTACTATTCTTTACTTCCCGTGAGGGCCCCGCTGACACACTGGCAACATGTTTATATATTTCACTTCCATTATTAAAAAGTGTGATATCCGTGGCTGACCAATGAAAATGAAAACTAGAATATGTGGCTTTTCTTCTGAGCTCAGTAAATCTTCCCTATAGGAGGGAATTAAAGAAGGTTTCCAGGCGATGGTGGAGGAGACATTTGGTGAATCTTTGCTAGTCAGTCTGAGTGGGGGTCATAGGTTTAGGAGCTACGAGGTTAGAAATGAGATCATCGATCAAGCAAAAATCACACAATCAGCAGAAATTATAACTGCCTGCTATTCCCAACAGGAAAACTGACACCTAAAGTCAAAATCCTATGTAATAGATACCCGTGGTGTCACTACAAATATAACCAAGCCTCACAGGCAGGCTGGATGTAGTACCCGCATTACAAAGTAGGAAACTAGAGAGATAGAGCACTCTATTTTCTATAAGTGCTACATCCCCATATTCAGCAGCAAGCGCTGTCTCAATTCCGTTGGTACCAGTACCTGTCTGACTGTATGTCCGTCTGGCCCCTCCCCTCAGGTGCTGGGCGCTGGCCAGATCTCTTGTGCCTCCACACAGTTTACTCGCTCTAGACGGGCCCATACAATGTCTAGCTTGTCATGGATTAATTTATCACCATGTGGTACAGAATGAATCATAGATTTAAATCCCCAGTGGGGTAAATTTTTAAAACTGACTTTGACTGCTAGGTCAAATCTGCATTAAAGTAGGAACGAGAAAATGTTCTGGGAAATAAAGGTCCCCATGTAAAAAAAAAAAAAAAAAGGGGGGGGGGGGGGGTTAGCAGACCCACTGGCTTCATATCAAGCATGTTGAAAATGGCGACTAATTCGGGATTTTTTCCCTCCAAAGTCAGAGCGTATCTGCCTGAGAGCTGAGAAACCAAAATAAAAATAAGTAGATCGTTAAAACAGATGGGCATGCAAAATTCAAGTTCTAGAACAAAACTAAGGTCCAGAGGTCAATGAACAACCGGAACTTTGCGCCAGAGTTTAAAACCGGTGAACATTAAGAAGAAGAAGGTGATCAGTGTCATATTTACCATATCACTCTTAGAGTGCACACTTCTTCTTCTTTACTTCCCCTTTTACCCTTTTTGGCGTCAAGGGAGACATAAGGTTCTACTTACGGATAGTGCTCACTTCTTCTTCTTTACTTCCCCTTTTACCCTTTTGGGCGTCGGAGAGTGCACACTGGTCTACAAAAATTGTGGGTTCCCACTTTATGACACCGAAACAAATCTTTATTTACTTAACATTACCCTGGGACTACCACTAAAGACTAGAGAAATATCACAAGAAGACACTCACCTCTCCTCCTGGGATCCCGGTGGCTCCAATCTGAGTATTCAGCTTCTTAATCTCACTGCTTGGTCCAGCTAACAAGGAGGTGCCGGTGTCAGCGATGGCATTACATCCACCATTACAGTATGTTGTGGAGGCAACTGCCAAACTGGGGATGATGGTTACAAGAGATATGTGGTTACGATACCACCATAGAGTTCACCAAATTAGGATGACAGTAAAATGGGATTATAAATATCACCAAATTAGGTGTCCATTGAGTGGAGTAGGTTGCGTTCTATCTGACAGTAAAATGGGCCAGCCATTATAAATATCACCAAAATTAAGATGACAGTAAAATGGGATTATAAATATCACCAAATTAAGATGACAGTAAAATGGGATTATAAATATCACCAAATTAAGATGACAGTAAAATGGGATTATAAATATCACCAAATTAAGATGACAGTAAAATGGGATTATAAATATCACCAAATTAAGATAACAGTAAAATGGGATTATAAATATCACCAATAGGTTAATATCTCTAGGTTAGTTTTGGAGCAGGTTGTAAGCAGTGAATTGTTGTACTCTATCACAGAGCGAACATATCCTAGATATAAGATAAAGATAATTAAATTGAGATTATGAAGATCATCAAATTAAGATGATAGCAACAAGAGATTAAGAAGATCATCACATTAGGAGGATAGTAACACAACATTATGAAGATCATCAAATTAGGATGATAGCAATAAAAGATTGTAAAAAATGAGATTAAGAGGATCATCAAATTAGGAGGATAGTAACATGACATTATGAAGATCGGAACAAAGAAAATACAAACAATAGACTGCACAATTTATTGCCTGGCATATTTCGCTGTATCTTGTCAGGTGCATACTACGGTAACAATTTATTAAAATGAAACAAATAGCTGAATCCTAGAAACTAAAACACAAATTCAAGTACATTCTAAACTGACTGTTTCACCAAGGTAACCGTAAGTAAACGACCATTTCTTTCTGCCTAGAGATCTGGTTTCAACCGGCTGATCGTGGAAGCTTCCGCGTATCGGAGTAATCTACGGCTGGCCGAACTGGGGGGTCCTATTGTGGGGTTGGGGTGGGAGATAGACCCACTGCTTCCTAATAAGCATTTTGTAAACGTAAAAGTAGAATTAAAGCCGTCTCCTTGAAACTGCATCTGCCTGATATGTGAGAAACCGACAGCTGTATAAAAATAAAGCCAGATCTGAAAAAAAAAACGGATGTGCATGTGTCATGGTCGTAGTAGGGGTGCAGACCAGGTGAATGCGGGACTATCAGCAAAACACTAAACATGTGATTGTCATAGTGTGCACAGAAGCCACGTGAACTACCTGAAGTAAGGGGAAAACAAGCTCAAGTTGTGAACCGGCTAAAGATAGTAGTCGACTGGACGTCCTAGCGGATAGTCTAGACAACTGCAGCGTGGCCATGCCACAAAATAGTGGTTTTAGTTTTTGTGTTAGATAGAGTTAGATAAGAGTTAACCACAATTAGCTAATATGTTGAGTGATTTAGAATGATGTAGCAGTGATAAAAGAATCAAGTGAATAGTAACAGAGCTGAACATGTAATATTTACATCAGACTTCCCTGTTTGAATTGTGACAACATTCTGATAGTTGTTCGTGTTGTTGTCTGACTGTAATTGCAGTGTTAATGTGCTGTGAGGGCCGTCAACAATGAACTATACCATAGTACTCATAACCCTCACAACTAATCAAGCTCAGGGAGTCAAAAGCAAATATGAAAAGTAACATTAAGCACATCTGTCAGCACAAGTTGAATGACCTTTATACACCTGCGTCTCAACCCCTGACAAATGCAAAACAAGTTCTGATACAAGATCCAGGAGTGGGCGAACAACCAGGACTTTACACCAAAATTTACAGCCAGTGAACACCAAGAAAAAGAAACTTACCTGTCCATGTGAAACTGCCAATAGCCCTCACGAGTAACAGGAACATAGGTGAAGTTGCCCTCATACATTTGTGGGTCGCTGCCTCCAAACACAATCTCTCCTCCCTCCTTTGCCTGGGCGTCTCTGCATATCAATTGTTTCAGTTAATTATATTTCTAGGAATGTTATTATACAGAATACAAAAGGCACATTAAAAAACATGGAAAGTCTTTTTCTTTTGTGTTTGCCCTTAAAAAGGATAAGGCAAAGTGTGTTGTGGTTTACAATTAGGCTGTGATATCTGCACCTTTCCATCAACACATCTTATTTCAGAAAATTCTTTTTAAGTTCCTTTTACAACAGGTTTGTTAACTCTTTGGGTCCCATAGGATTCTGTCAACAACAACAACAACAAAACGTTTTGCCCATTAAATACCTCAACACAATTTTTAACAATTTGCTGCATTTAGGAATGACAAGTAAGAGTGATACTCATGTAGTTACCAGAATAGCTAGTGTACACTGACCTAAATATTAGAAAGCGCTTGATGTGATGTTTGAGAGATGTGGGAAATTATCAGTAAGTAATACATCACATGCTGTGTACTATTCTGTACTGCATTTTGTGAAGTAAAATTTCAGCGTATATGTGACATTATGAATGTTATTTTTAGATCTATTATATACACTATACACTTTTTGAAAGTGGAAGAATGGGCCTCAGTTTGAATAGTGGGAAGACAGAAGTAAAGGTGGTATCAAAGAAAAGAATTATTCCTAAATGTGTAATAAAAGTCAATGGTGTTATTTTGGGACAAGTACAGAAATTTAAGTATTTGGGCACATGGATGACATCAGACGGAAGATGCATTACTGAAATAAGAAACAGAAAAGGAAAGGCAAAAACTGCATTTTATAAAATTAAGAACATTTGATGCAATAAATCTTTGTCACTGAAGGTTAGAAAAAGAATTTTTGTTTGGAAAATCGGTAGGCAGGCCATTCAATTTCTTGAGACCTCAGAGATGTGATTTTACAGAACAATGCTTAAAATACCTTGGACAGCAAAAAAAAAAAGCAACCAAGAGGTTTTGAAAGAGGCGGGAGCCTGAAGACAACTAATCACAGACATCAGAAGAAGACGGTCATAATTTTTTGGCCATGTTATGAGAAGAGGGAAAATGGAACATGTGGTGACCACTGGAAAGATTTGTGGAAGGAGGGATGGAGGAAGACAACAATTCTTGACAGTTTTGTTGCATGGCATGGAGGTGTGTCAACGCCTGAACTAATACATGCTGCAGGAGATCGCAGATTGTGGTGATGCATAATCGCCCACACGAGTCGGCAAGGCACCTTATGATGATGATACACTATTCGTATTTGGTTAAAAAGTGAAAATCACTATTCAGTACAGACCTAATATATATATACACACACACATATATATGTATATATCAATGTGTGTGTGTGTGTATATATGTATATATCTATGAATAAATATATACATATATATGTGTGTGTGTGTGTGTGTAAATAGTACATTGTATGTGGAGGTAGAGATTAGCCCTCATGTGCCTCCCTCGACTTTGAAGAGTTTTTACTATGTACACCTCATCACAAAGAGGAATTTAACTGCCTGGTACTAAAGAGTTAACAAATGTAACAAATATATCTGCTAGGACTTCACAATAACTAACCTGTTCAGATAGAATGAGAAGATTGGTGCTTGGACCTGTTTCTGTGCAAACATATTGTAGAAAGGGGGCACCACTCTATCCACAGAAATTGTGTCGTAGCCAAGCCCTAGAATGCCGTCAAACTTGGCAGCAACAAAGGTGATCCCCGGCTGTGTGACAGCTTCAGCAAATGTCTGGTTCTGGATTTTGATGTCTGAAATCTGATAAAACAAACCATAATGATTTCACTTTCACTTTGTCAGTCAAATTTAAGTTTCATTACTTATGTGCCCTTGGCAGACCATGACAATACCCCACCCCATCCTCAAATTATAAAAGCAGACCCCAGTATATATGACATTCTATGCATTTCGTGGTGGGAGGGTAGAAACATACAGAATTAATCTTCTCCTTTTATTACACCAAGTTTAATCCTTACTGTTTAAAAAAAAAAAGAGAGAGAGGGGGAGAGGGGGAGGGGAAGGGGGAGGGAGAGAAATGCATAGTTATCCGATGGCGTGTTTTGTCAGAGCCGGCAATTGACTGGCTGAACCCTAAGGTATTCTTGTGTGCAATTTGAACAACTTCACTCAGACAATCACAACAATTTTGAACAGGAAAATTATGTTTATGTCAGCGGCTATGCCATTTTTCTTTTTTTTTACGAACAGTAATTATGCTTCAGGGATAATGTGGATACCGTGGACAGAATAACTGACAAAAACTGCCTGCAAATCTTCTTCTTCTTCTTCAGCATTCCAAGCCCTTGAGGTTCACTGCTGCAGATATCACCCGCCTCCATTCATCTCTCAGGTTGACCTTCCGTGGTGGGAGGGTAGAAACATACAGAATTAATCTTCTCCTTCTATTACACCAAGTTTAATCCTTACTGTTTAAAAAAAGAGAGAGAGAGAGAGAGGGAGAGGGGGAGGGAGAGGGAGAGAAAGAGAGAAATGCATAGTTATCCGATGGCATGTTTTGTCAGAGCCGGCAATTGACTGGCTGAACCTTAAGGTATTCTTGTGTGCAATTTGAACAACTTCACTCAGACAATCACAACAATTTTGAACAGGAAAATTATGTTCATGTCAGCGGCTATGCCATTTTTCTTTTCTTTTACGAACAGTAATTATGCTTCAGGGATAATGTGGATACCGTGGACAGAATAACTGACAAAAACTGCCTGCAAATCTTCTTCTTCTTCTTCTTCAGCATTCCGAGCCCTTGAGGTTCACTGCTGCAGATATCACCCGCCTCCATTCATCTCTCTGGTTGACCTTCTCTTTCCAGCTGGTGACACAAAGTGTTTGCAGGTCTGTCTGGACATTATCTCTCCATCGTCTTCTTGGTCTGCCTCATGGTCTATGACCATCATCTCCCTTGTGTATACTGTTTTCACTTCTCTATTATCTGACATTCTCTCAATATGCCCCAACCATTTCAGTCTATTAGCTCTCATGATGACAGTGATCAGAGGTGATTTAAACAGATGATCAATTTCGTTGTTGCTTCTCACTCTCCATTCCCAGCTGTTTGCATTTTTAAAAAGATTTGTCGTAAGACTCTGTTTCAGAAAACCTGTAATGAGGCTTCATCTCTTTTAGTTGTGCTCAAAGTTTCACCGCCATATAAAACAACTGGTCTTATCAACGTTTTATATATTTTGATCTTGGTGTTGCAAGACAGACACTTTGACTTTAGCAGATGTTAAAGGACATTATACTGCCTGGAAAGGGCGACTGAAATTTGAAGGAAAAAAAACAACACAAAAAAATTAAGAAAGAAGAGGCAGTCAGTGTTCTTCTTTATGCTATTCCACATCCCAATATAGGGGGCACCATTTTTTTTTAATTCTAAAGCCAGCCCCACTCGGCTGTCATCGGGGGCCTAAAAAATATAACTGTTGAACAAGGTTTGTGGTACTCGTGCCCGGGTGATTTTCAACCGAAATGTGGCAAGTTGGGTTAGCGGGTGTTTATTACTCGTTGAATGGTCCTGGTGGGGTTGAACTTCATTCACTCAGTGTTCTCAAGTCATGTGATGAGAAGAGAGGCATTGGAGAACATCATCATGACTGGAAAGATCAACAGTGGCAGATGCAGACCTGGAGAGATGATGCTTGATGGGCTGAAGCGATGGCATGGTGGAACATGATCAGTGGAATTAATTTAAAAAATACCAAGGACCGAGATCTGTGGAAAAACATGAGTGCCCATGCCACTAAGCAGGGCACACGATAATGGACTATAACTACTAGGCATGTGTACTCACTGTAAGAACGTCTGTACTGAGGAATCCTGTCAGGCTGCCTGTACCGTACTGAATGGAGAAATCTGTCCCATTTGCTTTGTAGGTACTGGACTTGGTGCTGTCGTATTTGTTGTGAAGCACTGCCAAATGATGACACAACACAACAATGGACTATAACTACTGTAAATAATAGGCCCAAATTAAAGAGCTCACTTACAGACAAGAACTGCAAAGACTGAACACTGATATATCAGCAATATATAAGATTATATCTCGAGGTCCATAAAAAATTAAATATGAAAATTTATATATCATCCATTCTGGATGAGAGAACTGCCAAAGAAGTAGTCCATTCTATGGGAAAGAAGTACCAAAGAAGTTTGACATGGATCAGGTAAAATCATGATCTCTAAGTGTGATGTGACATTTCTTCTTCAGCATTCCGAGCCCTTGAGGTTCACTGCTGCGAATATCATTCACCTCCATTCATCTCTGTGACTGGCCTTCTCTTTCCTGTTGGTTATTCCAAGTGTTGTAGGCCTGCCTGTACATCATCTCTCTGTCATCTTCTTGGTCTACTCTCATTAAATAAACTCTTCTGTGTATACACTTTTTGTCTGCTATCTGTCATTCTCTCTATATGCCCCAACCACCCTTGCAATCTATTAGCCGTCACGCTGCCAGTAATTAGCGGTGATTCAAACAGATTTAACTGTTGCTTCTCACTCTATTCTACCCCGTTTGCATCACTGATATACACCACTTGGAGCGGCTAAAAATTCTTCCAATCTAGTCATTATACAAGTACTTGGTAAACTGTCTGTGGCAGAAAGTTTAGCTGCATGAATATATACGAGGGGAATTCAAAAGTAAGTCACAAATGATTATGGGATGGCAGGAAAATGTAGTCTGTGGTTTATAAAGGTGTCATTGGGTGACAGCAACATTAAACTTTATGTCTCCGTTTGTTAGGTGGCACTAGCAGTTGCATGTGCATTCGCAATACAGAAGCAAAATGGCCACTATACTTACAGAGCGTACCCTCAAAGAACAACATGCTGTTGTGAAAATGCTTCCTGTTTATGCTGACAAATATTTATCCCGTAAAATGGTACATAGCTGGGTAAAAAAGGACACTCTAAAACTGTTCACGAACTCCAGATCTGGTCATTCTGTTGAGACTGCAACAGATGCATCCGTGCAGCGGGTGGAGGAGATGCTTAGAGGTGACAGGCAAGTAACGCTGGACTCTGAAGCAGCTGCAATAGGGTGCTCACATGGTTCAGCATAAAACATGAAGCATGATCGATTGAAATTTAAGAAAGTGTGCTCAAGGTAAGTACTCAAACAACTGACGGACCAACAAAATGAACCGATTAGGCCTGTCCTTGCAGCATCTCTATGAAGAAGAAGACATGCTGAACCGATTATTACCTGGGACAAATCATAGTTGCATCAGTATCAGCCCAAATCAAAGTGTGCTTCAATGCAATGGAAACATCCTTCTTCGCCTTATGTTAAAAAATGCAAGGTTACGCCATCAGCAGGAAAGGTTATGCTGACATTGTCCTGTGATGTCAAGGAGTGCTTTTAACCGATTTCAAAAAACAAACAAAAAAAGTGACAATGTCAATGCTGATTCATACTGTAAAATTCTACTGATGCTTCATGATGCAATTTGAAGAAAACATCGAGGCGTGCTGACTAGAGGAGTACTGCTACTTCATGACAATGCCAGACCACACACAGCTTGGTCAACTCAGGAGAAAATTAATCATCTAGTGTGGGAACTTCTGGAATATCCACCTTACAGCCCCGGCTTAGCCCCTAGCGATTTCCACCTTATTAGTCCACTGAAAATCAACCTTGGCGGGAGACTTTTCGTGAATGACGCAGAAATTGAATGTGAAAGTGTGGTTTAGAAAACAGAGCACACAGTTCATATGCAGCAGGTTTGGGAGGGCTGTTACAAACAATGGGACAAGTGCATCAATGTTGGTAGAAATTATGTTGTAAAATAAAGGGACAGTGTGTGTGTAAAAATCAACTATTTTCAAGCTGTTACCATCTTTATTTTGTTATTGTTGTAAACAACCATTTGTGACTTACTTATTGACTTCCCTTCATGTAACAGATGCAAAGGAAAACAGAAAGTGTTTTTTTTTAATGTCTAGACTGGCTGGCTTCCATCAACTGATAAGATTTAGATCAGGAACATGGATTTTCTGCCCAGGAAATTCTGAGGGGCAGGGTAATAAGCAGACTGATAGATTGGCTGCTGCTGTTCTTCTAGGTGGTGAGCTACTTTATGATAAAGTGGATCTTGTGAAGGCTCTCTGGAAACAAGTAAACTGCAATAGAGCAGAGCATCCTTACTTCGAGTGACTGATTCAGCAGGGGGTGAGAAGAGGATCTGAACAGACCGTCTTCCAAATGCAGGAGGAAAAAACAGGTGGACTTTAAATCAGGTTGCAACTGGGAACATCATTGGCTACTGATGAAGAAGACTGAGCTTGTATAGAAATGGCTGAGTGCAATGACACAAATTTTTGATTCATTTATTCAAGAATAAAAATAACTAGATAACCTGTCAAATTACATAATCACTACAAGAACACAGACACGATCTGGTCAGCTGAGATAGCGAATCATAATGTTATGATTATGAGAACATACTTCCTGCACAATATTTTTCACTCAGGAAATTATGTAAACACATCTTCCCTACCTCTCAGCCACACGTATTTAAAAGAAATCATCCACAGCTGTGGTGCTATTTATACAGAGTATCCAATGTTTCCACACATAGAACATAAATATATCACCCACACTATCACAAGCATAAGAGGTCAAACAAAATGAAAGATGCAAATACTGCAACAATGCTGCCTACACAACACAGCCAGCATTTTTTTTTCCTGATGTCCAAAGCTAAGTTTCACATGTGCAAAGTGGCTACTTACGGCAAGCAATATCTGTCCACTTGCATTTCTTGGACGGAACCCACAAGTTGGATGAACCAGTGTCAAAAACAACTTTAAATGACTGAGCAGGAGTGCCCAGGCCTATAACACCATAGTACTGGGCCTGAAGTGACAAATAAATTACATGGAATATAAGTGAAAAATGATTCGGAATAAAAGTGACAGATAAATTGCATGGAGTATAAGTGACAATTAAATGACATGAAACAAAAGTCACAATTAAATGACATGTAATAAAAGTGACATTTAAATGACATGGAATAAAAGTGACAATTAATGACATGGAACAAAAGTCTCAATTAAATTATTGGGAATAAAAGTGAGAATTAAATGACCTGAAACAAAAGTGACTTTTAAATTATATGGAATAAAAGTGACAATTAAATGACCTGGAATAAAAGAGACAAACAAAATAAACAGAATAAATGTGACAATTAAATGACATGGAATAAAAGTGACAGATAAATGACAAGGGCCTTTTGTGGGGGAAACGGGAATAGACTCGCTGCTGCCCCAACAAGCATGTCTTAAGATTCAACTAGCTGGGAGCTTCCTTCGAACTTTGGTTGCATCTGCTGAATAGGCAAGGAACCAACAGTCTGCACATACAAAAATCTGATCTGTAAAACAGATGTGTATGCAACACTCTAGTTCTGGAACAACACTCAAGTCCAGAGGTGGAAAGACAACCAGAACTTTCTGCTGGAGTTTACAGTTGGTGAACATGGAGAAGTTGAGGAAGAGAGAATATGGACAGTAGATGGATGAAGCCGCATGAAACAGAAAAGGACAGGAGTACTTGAGGTAAGGGGTTTAAAACAGTGGTCTCCGACATTTTTCAGGTGGCACCCCACATAAATATATGACAAGACCCCCCCCCCCCCCCCCCCAAGTGGTTAGACTACTAGTTTAAAGCCTAATAAGTTTTACAGACTGCACCTGTCCCAAGAGGGACTACCTTGTTTTTTTATTCTTTTTATTGAACAATTGTCAGCTCTGTGGCTAAGTCGATGCGAACGCTTTGTAATGCTGGGTTCGATCCCAGCTGCGGGCCATGCGCCTTGCGTTGGTTTTGACAGTGGTATCAGGGAGCGGACTGTCCAGAAAGCAATGGCAAACTACTGGACATAAATTTGCCTAGAGAAACCACACAGCAGCCAGGGGCTGTTGGGGTTGGTTCTGCAATGTCCTGTAAAGGATACGCAACTAACCATTGAAGAATTAAAAGTAGAATGCTAAATCAGGATAAGAGAAAGAATACACCATACATCTCATTGCAATAACTTCAAATTCAGTAGCTTATTGGCTTGATGCTCACTTATCGGCCTGAAGGTCTGTGGTTCAAATCCTCACCAAGGCTATTTTTTTTTTTTACAAGTGACCTTGGCTTCCAGGTCAACCCAGGCTAAAATTAGCATCACTGAATGTCCTAGGAAGTAAAGGTGGACAGCATGATGCTGACAATGTCACCTAGCAACGGCTGACTGGTCTATGAAAATATAGATCTAGCATTACATACCCAGTGTGAAAACGTAAGGGTCCTTTACTTTTCACTTAATAATTTCAATAGGGTGATGCTAACCACATCACACACTAACGGCTGATTGGTCTATAAAATATAGGTCTAGTCCTTTATGCACCATCTTCAGACTTAGAACGCAACATACTCCACTCAATGGACACCTAAACAGAGTACAGCCACAACACTCCCCAGAGTGCCAGCTATGTAACTACCCCTACGAAACTGTTGAACACCATCTCTTTGAGTGCCCAAAACTCAGTGAGACAAGAAGAACGCTACTCCCTCCGAGACCAGACAAGTGGAACACCTTGTACGGAGGAAAAGAACAGCTTGTGAAAACATGCAAATTCCACTACATGGCATTGGGCCAAAGCGCATGCGCCACTGGATCGATAACAACAACAACAACAACCTTTATGCACAATATGTCTGAAGGCACAGAGAAAGGGTTCTTTAATAACTTCAGACGATGACTATAAGAAGGTAACTAAAGACTCACATCCAGGTAATTATTCAGCGGTTCGTATCCAGGCCTCTGGGCCTTGATTTTATCAGCATTCTCGGCTTGGTACTTTTCCAGCAGGTACTGCACATTGTTCTGATGCTCCTGCAGTGTACGCCTTGCTGTCTTCACTTTATGGAGCTGAATCCTGCAATAGTAAAATTGTACGTATAAAAGTAAAGTGATTAAATGTCTATGCCGACCTGTTTATAAGGTATCTGGTGTCAATTCAGGTTTATAAAACACTAGTACTAGATTCATTTAAAAAAAACAGTAGATTAAATGGTTTGGCCATCTCACAAGATCAAACATCATCACAAGCAATACATCTCAGTAGACTAGTTACAAGAGCACAAGAAAGGCCAAGAAAGATATGGATCGACAACATCAAAGTCATTCTACGCCTTCATGGCATAACAACAGCCAGTGGCAGCCAGCATGCAATGGATTGCAAATTATTCCTCCCCACAATGCTTAATGGCAGAAGTGGTTAATGAGGATGATGATGAAATCACTTGGCTGAAGTTTTTTTAGTTTTTTCTTGACAAAACAACTAAAATGACACTGTGAGTTATGATCTGGGCTATCTTCACGGCACTCTGGACACATCCATAGGTGCTCAGACTCCTCCTTCAACATATACATCAGCGGTTGATAGTCCCAGTCCCATTTAGGTTGACAAGACTTCTCGTGCGTCCGGTGTGCTTCCCGTGCCTGACTGTGTCGATCTTTATTCCCAATTCTTGCACTCTTAGCAAAGATGTGGAAGTGTTGCTTCCAAAATCCTTCAAACATCCTACCTCTCTAATGGATGATGATCCATGGACTGGCCCTCTGTAACTAAGGCATAGCCGGCTAATTTGTTGGCTCTTTCATTGCCAACAACACCAGCATGCCCTGGTATGACACAGTGGTTTAGCTGTGTGGTCAGTACCATTTGGTCTCAGGTATATTCAGGATTTTGTTTTCTTCTTGATTCTGCTAAAAACTGCTTGTATTTATTACTTTTGCTGTGCAGGCGGGGGCTCTTTGAGCCTGAGGATTTAACCAGGCATGGATAGTGTTGTCGCCACGAACTGTGCAGGTCAGGATTTGTTTGGCCTCCGACAGAAAACCCATTACAATCTGGGTCTACTGCATGACAGCCCAGCGTTCTTAACCAACCAATTGTTTTTTGTTGTTGTTGTTATTGCAAACCAAATGCAAATGACACTTGAACAGAGAAAAATAAGTGTCGATGTACTTGAAGTAATTAGTGTCTTCACTGAAGGTATCCACCCCCTAAGTACTTTGGCTGAGAGCCAGAGGCCGTGGTTCAGCTGTCCACCAATGAAGCTTCGGTCTGACTAAACCTACCATGTGACAATGACAATTATCACACAACTGATTATTCAAGGCAAAGAGATTTCAATAAACTAAGAGTCTGGAGGGAAGGGGGAGGACAGAGATAGAGAGAGCGATAGACCAAGGTGAGGGGGAGTGGGCCTAGACAGAAAAACATATGAAGGAGGGCTTGTGTGTGTGTGTGTGTGTGTGTTTTTTAAAGTTTTTTTAAAGGATCCTTTCCACGCTTTTAGGCGTATTGGGCATATAAAGGAAGACCTATATTTTATAGACGAATCAGCCAACTGTACTTCCCAGGAATCCACCTCGTACCCATTCAAGGCACTGTCGTTCTGGAAGCCAAGGTCATGTTTAAAAAAATATGCTGGGACCTAGGACCTGAACCCTGGACCTTTCAATCCGCAGGCAGGTGTCTAGCTGCTACACCATGATGACTCCTGTGCATATGTTTAAGGCTGTTGATGTGTGTGTTAGGAACAAAAATAAGAGGGAGAGATACTTTGTGTGAAAAAAGGGAATGCATGTGACAGAGAAAGAAACTGTGAGTGTGTGAGACAGTATGTGTGAAAGTGTGTGAGAGAGTGTGTATGAATGAAAGTGGGTGAGACTGTGTGTAAGAGTGTGTGAGATAGTGTGTGTGAGTGAAAGTGTGTGAGAGTGTGTGTGTGAGATTGTGTGAGAAAGCAAGAGTGTGTGAGAGAGCGAGAGAGATTGTGTGAGAGAGAGTGAGAGAGCGAGACTGAGCGTGAGAGAGAGACTGTCAGCATGAGAGAGAGAGAGAGAGCATGAGAGAGTGAGCGTGAAAGAGATAAGAGTGAGCATGAGAGAGAGTGAGCGTGAGAGAGAGGAGTGTGAGAGAGAGAGTGAGTGTGAGTGTGAGAGAGAGAGTGAGCTTGTGTACATGTGTGCATGTGTGTGTGGTAAAAGAGAACTGAACTGTCATTATCGAAGACAATAAAGTTGAAAGAGAGACGGTATGAACACTAATTTACCTGTGCAGTGTAGCAGAAGCACTCAGGAACAAAACTGCCCCAAATATTAACGCAGTCAGCAATTTCATTCTCATGTATCAATCTCTGATGTATTTCAAAACCTGTTTTAGAATTAAGTCAAGCACATAATGGGCAGTGTATACACAGTAAAATTATAAATAACTCAAAAATAACAGTGATACATGCAGCAAACAACCTCAATATATGAGAACACTGAAGCAGAAAAAGAACAAAATAACAGGTCACATGTTCATGTCATTGTAATCTTCTTCTTAGCATTCATCAAGTGTTAACTCCAGCGGACAGTTGTGGTTGTTCGTCCATTTGTGGACTTTGCACATTCGTTTGACAGATCGGGCTTACATCTATGCAGCCTGCTGGTTACTCGCCTCCTGAGCAGATGCACTCTGACTGCAAAGGAAGTCACTGTAATATCTTTGGGATAGTTTACTTGGCTCACTGATTGATGACAGGTTTTCTTCTTCTTCTTCTTTTGTTGTCTCACTGATACCAGGTTGTAGCCCAGTGTTATGGTGTTTGCGTTTCTCTGGTAGCTTGGGTGACAGATTTATTTATATTTTTGCAGGTTTCAGCTACTCTATTTATCAATCTCCTTCCTCCCAGTTGTTCTACTGCTGCAAAAAAAATCTTACATGCATAAGGGTCTGGCTACATTCTCATTAGATGCAAAACCTTTTAATTCTTTGTCTGTCAATATAATTCAGACGCAGTGTTATTTTAATACTGGTATTCATAGCCCTGTCCCTTTTTGTGTTATTTGTGACCTTACAGAATAGGACAGACCTCAAACTTGCAAATATGAAGTCCACTCCATCTAACCGACAGAGGTGGAACGAGCTGACAAATCAATAGCAACTCGTGACCCAAAGATACATGGTGTTATGAGGGTATGATGATAATGATCAATTGAACAGTATCACATAAGACATCTTATTTCTCATTACATGTTTTGCTAAGAAATTTAATGACAAAGACTTCACCAGGAAGCCTTTTTTCCTTGAAAAAAATGAACCCTTGTACATTATTACATGGCCAACAAATAAGTGCTTAATTACTTCTTCTTCTTCTGCCTTTCTAGCCCCCAATGGAGTGCAGGTCTTCAACCAACTCACACCAAGCCATTCTATCCTTCACTATCGCATGCAGCTCTTGCCATGTCCTCCCCATCGTTTTAACTTCACTCTCTAGCTCCCCTCTGTAAGTATTTTTTAGTCTTCCTTGATTTCAATGCCCCTGTGGGTTCTAGTGCAAAGAAATTCTAGTTATATTGTTCTCTGATTTTCTCAATGTGTGTCCTATCCAATGCCAGTGTCTTTTCTTTACCTCTTGGCCCACTGGAGCTTATTTAGTTCTCTCCCAAAGCTTTACAGTAGTGATTCTATCACACCATTTAATTCCCTCTATTCTGCGCAGGCACCAGTTAATGAATGTTCATAGTTTATTGGTAACTGCTTAGTTGTTCATGTTTCTGCTCCATTATTAGTCATTGTCTTAGTTGTTCTCCATGTTTCCCCTCCATAAAACAGTACTGATTTGACATTATAATTTAAAATTTTAAGTTTAGTTTTACTTTTTAATTTCTTTCAACCTCCACAAATTCCCTAGTGCTATGAAAGCCCCTCTTGCCTTTTGTATTCGTATTTTAATATCTCTATCAGTATTCCCATCATTATCTACATTACTGCCCAAACAGGTGTGCGACTCCATGTCTTAGAGTGGGATACCATTAAGAGAAACCACATTACTTTTTGCCTGACTTATTCACATTATCTTTGTCTTTCCCCAATGAATTTTCAGATCTAGCTGTTGTGATCTCGCATCAAGTATATTTAATTTATCTTGCATCTGATTCCATGAGTGGGACAGAAGACAAAAATCATAAAGCAAAGTCCAAATGATCAAGCTGTTCTGTAGGGGTCCCCTGAATTACATTCCTGGTGTTAGCAGTTGTTGTTGTCTTCATAATCCAGAATAAAATGAAAATGATCAAAGCAGAGATCCTAGTTTACATTACATTATCAAGTTCCTTGTCAACTAGCGTGGGCGATCATGAATATCAAAAAATCTGCGATCCGCAATTGTGTGTATCATTTCATGTGTTTGTACCCCTCCATGCCATGACAAAAGGCTGTCAAGAATCTTCTCGCACTTCCTCTGCCTCTCTTTCCACAAATCTTTCCAGTGATTACAACATGTTTCATTTTCCCTAAAATTGATGACTGTCTCAGATGTTTGGGATAAATTGTCTTCAAGCCCTCGCCTCTTTCAAAACATCTAGACTGTTCTTCTTAGCTGTCCAATGAATTCTAAATATTCTTCTGTAACTCCAAATCTCTGAGGCTTCAAGATATTGTTCAGCTTGTTTATTAACAGCTGAGGATTCACAGCCGTATGTTAAAACTGGCTCAATATAGCATGCAAGAATTATTTTCCCCAACCTCCAATGACACGGATTTATTGCACAAAATGTTTTCCATTTTATTAAAGGTAGTTCTAGCCTGTCCTATTCTGTTCTTTTACTCTGTGACACATCTTCCATCGGAGGTTATCCATGTACCTAGATACTTACATCTCTGAACTTTGACTTTTATGATACATTTAGACACTTTTCTTCAGAAATCACCATTATTTTTGTCTTCCCATTATTCAAACTGAGGCCTATTTTATCATTTTCTATAACCACTGTATCTATCAATTCCTGTACTTCTTTCTGACTTGTGGCTATCACGATAGTGCCATCAGGTGTTATGTTATGACCACCAACTACAACTCTTGGTATAGCCATGATAGATCTCATTATATATTCACTGTATAATGTAAACAAATCAGGTGATACTACACATCCTTGCCACACTGCCCTCTTTATGCTCTGAAATGTACTCAACTGTTTATTAATTCTTATAGCTGCTGTTATCTGGCAATACATGTTCTTTATCATTCGTAAATCTTTTCCATCAATGATTCAAGTTTCCATTAGTTTGATTATTTGCTTTCATATGGTCAATGAAGCATAAGTAAATATGTTTTTTTTTAAACTTCTAAAGCTCTTTCTGAAATAGTCCTGAGGATTACAACATACTTATCTTAAAACAAATATATTAATAACAAATAAAAAAAACAATATAGTTTTTTTTTTAAAGACAGAACATGTTGTTAATTATGAAGAATGATTTAACTGTAATAAGCATCAATATTTACATAATGACCTTAAAGAAATCACCGATGTTAAATCAAATTTTTAAATACAAACGTATAACTCACAAAACAGGTTATATTTTTATAGTATCATAAAGAGTCAATCTAGAAGAAGCACAAAAGTGAACTGCAAAATCTGCTAAATGAATTCTCATAGAACTGCTCTGTCATTAAAAAATATAGAGATTTTATAACAGATAAGTTTTAAGATAACGTTAATTGCTGAAGTACTTTAGGCTACATCATTTTGCAGATAAGATCCAAACTAATCAACTTGATTTGGATGGCCCTTTAGCACTAGAGGTAGACATTTTAAACTTTTTTCAATAAGGAATAATTATTTTTTCAAATGAATAAAAGAATAGGAGTAGAAGAGAAAAAAACTAATTACATTTTTTTCTGTTACCACAAAACATCTACAGTGAATAAGACATTTGCTCAGCAGCAGCTGTAGTAGTAGTAGTAGTAGTAGTAGTAAAAGCAGAAGACAAAGCTACAGCTACTGACACCCCTATGTTAGAAATGCAAAATACATGGAGTGGAAAGTCTGTCTCATCTTACGCAACTTCACTAACAAATGTATGAACCAACTATAGGAGTATTTTTAAAAAGAAAACTAATAAAACATAGTTCATTTGTAGCACAGCTCTGTTCTTTGTGTACGTTGATGTCTTTAGGTTTGCTACAAGAGGAGTCAATTGGAAGATTATAGACGAGAAGAAAGATGGTCCTGTCATAGTGGTGATGATGATGATGTCTTGCATGCTGCATGCTTCTCACGTGACTCTGATGCTTGAAAGATTAAATGTCTGGAAACAACTGTTCTTATCTGTACTGTCTTTATTGTGATATTTCAGCAATGTAACAAATAACATCAATGATATTCTGAAAGGCACTGTGTTCTCTCTATAGCTAAATACTCGTAGGTTTGTGTTGTGTTCTTCATCTCTAGTTACTTTGTTTCTAGTGCCTGTAACTGCCACCTGGCTTCTAGTGCTGTCTGGTACTAACAGCTTGATCGTCAACTCTTAACCTCTCTCTAGTTCTAACCAACATGCCATGTGTGACATTATAGCACTCAGGATACTCCAATAAGCACTTGATCTCCATTTTCAGCAGCGAAGAGTTCCAATTCCGATGGCACCAGTAACTGTCTGATTGTGTATAAGTCTTGTCTTAAGTGTTCAGCATCAGCTATATCCCCTGGTAACCCCTCATAACACTATTCTCCTCGGTCCGTAATGATCTATTTGTGTCTCTGCACTGTCCACTCAACTGCGATTTGTACCAAGCAACCAACAATGTGATTTTATGTTGAGCCTAAGCATACCACAGAAACCTGGCTAATTATTCCAAAAATTAGGTAATTAATATTATGCAACAGGTACACTACAGGAATGATAACAAACAAAACTAGGTTCAAATTTTACTATGCACAACGTTTAAAAAAAAAAAAAACTGAATACAGGGTTTCTGTTTAGGTCAACACTGTCCAACAGGTATTAAATGTGGAGGGGACAATTTTTCTTAATTTACATAATTAAATATGTATGCAACAAGTGTGTGAGACCAAACAAATAAAATTAATATTTATTGATCTACAACAATATCTAAAAAAAAAAAAAAAAAAGGTTTCGGTGTGTACAAGTACAAGAAAGCAACCGAAAGTGGAAAGCTTTACTTGCTTACGTAACTGAATATATATGCAACAGCTACAACATAAGTACTAAACAAACAAAACTATTTAAAGTTCGTTCATCTACAAACAAATAAAAAGTATCTATAAATGTTTCTGCGCAGAAGAGGAAAAGGCCGGTAATGAATGACAATGACGCCCTATCGAGCGTTCAGTTCAGTG